ATCCAGTATCGCATGGCTCGGGGCTACGAGTTCAATATCGGTATTGGCATTGTATTTAAGTGTCTCATGTCCTGAGAAGTAGTTCCCCATTTTATTTACACCGATTCAGAACGTTCTTTTGAACGAATTGTTACTACTATATATTCATACATATGTTCTGAGATTATTTATAATTTTTATCTGTAATAATGTATGCAACAAAACATTCTAAAGTTGCTACTGATTCTAATTCTATTAAAGTATTACATGTGGCGTATGTTCTTAATATTATAAACGCGAAAGATTGTGAGTATAGATGCATGTTTGTTACTCTTTCATGCAAAAACTACTGAACGAATTTTGATGAAACTTTAATATAATATAGTTTATACATCAGAATAACATATATACTATTAATATCATGCTGGTGAGTAGGCTAGTAGCAAACCGAGTGCATCGTGAAGCTAGCGTATATAACTGGTGTGGTCGCGGCGCTGGCTCTCCTCTCGGCTTATTGAGGCACGTGGGTACATAGATGACATAGGTAGCTACATACAGCACGACTAGAGGTGAGATTCAGAGAGCGCGCAGCATCCCAGCAGCGCTGCAGCGCAGCGTCCGCATCGCATCGCATCGCCCACGGCCCAATGTCTGTCCAATATTAGAGTGTGATCGCGATCTATGTATACCACACGGTAGCTGTCTACCGTTACGTACGTACAGAAATAAATACATTTCCCTCCTCACCTATCCACCGTAAATACATTTTATTCCAAACAGTTCCGGTTCGAATTTGTGCTGCAACAATTTAGGAAACGAGTTTTGTATGTCGTCATAGGTTTCACGGATGTTTTGAGTTGCTTCCCCAAATTGTTCAAAAGTTCGCTATTAGACTTTTAATATACCTAACTACTGACACTAGGCAATAAAGTTAGTCATATATTAATTACCTGCAATTCACTACATGACGTTCATATTGAATTTCATAATTGTATTCATGAAATTGAATTAATTTTCTATAATATCAAATGTAACATTCAAATTCAAGTTTGCTATTTAGCAATTTGTATTCACACTGAATTTCAAATACTAGCAATACGCAGGTTTCTTGCTCTTTCTTCTTGTGATTAGATTGCGTTCCGAATGAGTGGTAGAATAAAAAAATATGACCGTTTAAAAGTGCTTAAATGATTATTATTTGAATGAAGATAATGTCTATTTCCAAGTAATTTAACAAATAGTTTATCAAATATTATTTACTAAAATGTTTTTGTGAGAAGTATTGCACGTAGTGCAGTTGCAGTGCTCGGGCTCGGGCCCGGCCCCGCCGCCCGCCGCGCGCCGCGCAGTCTCCGGCCTCCGGGCCGCGTCTATTGTAATAACAATGTGAAATACAAACAAACCAACCAATTATGTAGTACAAACTGTACGTAGTACTAATGATATGATACACACATGTGAGTTATGTCTTGTAGTTGAAACATGTATCATTTAGTATGAGTACGTCTCGTATCTGCTAATACTATAGTTTAAAAAGCTCAGTTTCTGCTGTGATGTGCGCGAAACATCGCACTTTGTAAATTGGATTTTATGTTGTAGGGTAAAATTGGGCAATACCATCCTGACAACCTGGATGAATGATGGTCCTCCACCGTGCGTTTTTCCAGAAACTTTTTGGAAAATTATTCTACAATGTGGTTGACATTGTAGAATAATTTTCCAACAATGGTATTTCCGATATACGATACGGTAGTTCAAAAAAAGAGTTTATTCCTATTTACAAAGCCGGCAACAGACTTGTAATTTTCCTGGTGATGCGGAGCCCTTGGGCGCCGGTAATCACTTACCATCATGTGAGCACCGCAAGTACGTCTGTGCCCTGTGCTATAAAAAAATCTAAAGTTATCACTTATCAACTGGTGGCCGTCATGCTTGTTTGTCTATACAAATTTATGTGTATTAAAAAAAAGCGAAATCTTTAGGGTTTCACTTAAGCGATGGTAGCCACATGGAACCAGCTGTACCTCCAGTCCAGTGCTGCGGACCAGGCGTGGTGGTGCCGCTGCTGGCCGGAGTCGGGGCGCGGCGTGAGTCAACATTGGCGTTTATTTGTAGCCCGTTGCCAACCGACATTTCCCCACTTTTCAAGTTTATTAGGTTTTTGCACCTTCACCGAACTGATTTGACTTTTTTGTGAACTTGTCTCTGATTAGCTGTTTTATTTTTAATATAATACTGAACAGTCATATTTTTTTTTCTTATTATCTAATGAACTGTGTGTTCTTTCTTTTTGCATCATTTGTGAATTAATGATTAAACCTCGATAAATTATTACCCAATTTGCTTCTCCCAAATAGTTTTCTTAAATTGTATCTATTATTTAACAAATTTTATTGATGTCAGATTTATAGTTGTGCTACCTACGCACCTCTGCGTATGGCGAGACGCCTCGTTACCGTAGTTTACTGGTTTGAGGGCAGGACGTAGCTCTCTGCCATGAATCTATCAGATAACCTAATTGATACAAAATATAAAACATGTTTTAAACAGACACTGGAATTAGAAGTAATCAGTGAAGAGAGTGCCTAGAGTTCGTTGAACTGTGGCTGCGGGCAGCACGTGTTGTTCTTGTATATATCAGGCGGTGCTAATTAAACAACTGTTGAACGTGAGCTTCCTCGTCACAAGACTATTTCGGAAGTCGGGTTTAATATAACAGCATCGCATTACTGTACGGCGACCAGTGTGTGTCGCAGACATCGCTACTCACGACTCACGACTCACGGGTCGCGACCACAACACTTGAACACTGTCGCCGGCGACAACCGGCCGGTGGATGCGGCGCGCGTCCGGCTCCGGCTCCGGCTCCGGCACGGGACGGGACGGGACGGGACGGCGCGGCGCGGCTGCCAATAATTGATTGAAATTGTATAGATTACAATAGAAACAATAGTTGATTGTTGGAAATTGTAAACTCAAAATGATATGTGATACGTTAGAAAGTGACAGACTGCGTAATACGTCTGTACTGTTTACACAGTTTAGTTTTATAATCTATGAAATTATATCACTAATTGCTCTGTACATTAAAAAAGTGTTTTTGGTAATGCCGGAAGCGGAAGCGGTACTGTGTGTGTCTTGTTGCAATAAAAATCATTAAGTCGAATATATTCATACAGATATTATAAATCTGAAAGGTCGTGTGAATGTCTGTCTGTTTGCGTGTTTTTATCATTTCACATCTAAATGGCTGAAGGGATGCTAATGAAATCTACCTGACAATATGACAATCTATATGACATTTTACCTCAACGGATCTTTAATCTCAAGTAAGCAAACGACGGGGTCACAGCGAGTTAATATTGTAATTGTCTGTTTGTATTTGTTAACATTGCGGTTTTGGGACAGACACATACATACATTAAAAATATTTAAACAGACTAATGTAATTGGGCATACCTTATGGCATAAAAAAGATATCTTCAAGTGAATAACTTCAGCGTGTACCTTATGTGTACCTTACATTATAGTAGAATGTAGGAGCGCGGGGAGAGTGCGGGCTAGTGCGGGCCGGTGTCGGTGGTGAGCGGCCTCGGCTCGGTGCGGCTCAGAGGGCATCTCTACAGTAAAGTTGCCCAATCCTATACTTACAGGCCAATAAAAGTTTCATTATTATAAGTTACTTTTTGATTTATTCTTTTTATAAATAGTAACATGAACTATTACTGTTACACAGTGGTATTCAATATGATCTAATAGCAAAGTTTGTATGATGTTATGATTCGACCCCACTCTCGAATAAAAGCTGGTCCAACATAACAATTTCGAGCTGCTCTCATTTAACGTACAGAGAGAAAATAACGTCGATTAAATATAAAAATTTCATTTTTCAAAGCTAGAAGCTAGAGTTGCCTCCTTGTATATAAGTCAATTAAATTAACCACGCCGTCTTAATCATTATCTTACTTTTAAAATGATATACAATACTTGTGTAAATTTAAAACTTTAAAGGAAATAATAATTTTGAATAATTAAAAAAACTTTAATGCTCGTCTTGTAAAAAAAATTTACATTTTGAATGGTGCCATTTTTTTTTATTTAACCCACGATATGTATTTATTGTTTAAATCGCAGCTAATGAATAATAATTAGTTTTTGTGAATTGATTTAATGTTTACTAAAATGTGATTTACTATGAGTAAATACCTTGACTACACGCGGAGTACATTGAAGTTGAGCCACACAATAATACACTTACTATAATATATTACGCGACTTTGTCCACGTGGAATTGAACTTTATTTATCTAACATAAAAGTAGCCTAAGTTACTCCTTATTACATCAGCTACCTGCCAAAAAGAGTCCCGTCAAAATCGGTCCAGCCATATCAGAGATTAGCCAGAACCAACAGACAGACAAAAATTGTAAAAAATGTTAATTTGTTATATGTATCGTATCTATATTCATATGCATGTACTAAAAAACGGTTATTTCAACAGACACTCCAATTTTATTTATATGTAAAGATTACTTGCAAATATAGCTCTACGATTTCTTAAAATTATGTACGTATAATTATATATCACTTAGCTATCTATTGAGTTAATTCATCTGACAAACTTGTTTTGAAACTTCAAAATGTAAAATTTGTAAACGAAAGCGCCATCTACAGTACGTAGAGAGAATCTACAGCCCATTGAAGTAGGATTCATAAATAGCATAAAGTAAGTTTACGGCATGAAGCCGCCGCCCAAACACAAACCGCCCGAATGAACTCGCGCGGTGTTCAGGCGATTTCACAGATGTCGCTGTAATACATATAGAGCAGCAAAATAGAAAACGGCAGAATCGTTTTTACGATGTAGCTGCAGATAGTTGACAAGTCGTATGCTTTGTAGATGGTGATTGAATATATATAGTACTCGTGGATCAGATGGCAGTTGAATGTGTTGGTGGTGTCGTATCGTGGGTACATTGTGATACGTGAGTGTATGCAGGTGGCGCGTGGTTGTGTGTGCAGGTGTCGGGCGGCGCGTGTGTGTGCGAGCGGCGCGCGCGCAGCATGCGCGGCGTCACGTGACCAGCATGGCGTCCGACGCGCGCCCGCGCTCGCCACCCAGCGGCGCGCGCAGGAGACGAGACTTCAACAGGTGCCCGCTGACCCGCTGATTACAGACAACACTACCTATACCTCAATGTCCATTATTTGATTCGTAACATCGACCATCATGTACATTAGAATTGAACAGCACTACTACCAGTATAACTGGTGATTTCAGGTGATCACTTTATCCTCGTATGATGGGAGACAGGAACAGGGTGATATTAAGTATTAGGAGATTCCTCCTGAATGTTTGTCTATTGTATGTGTATGTATGTTTGAAAACTGTAAACATCGGTACGAGGTCGCCGTGTCGCCAATTCGCCAACGTCCATCTATTTATAGGTGAAGCGTCTTCCGTTCGTCTGTTAGCCACCTGCCGTCCTCGCCCCTGCGCTCCGACTCGCGCAGAGCTCACGCTCGGCGAGCAGTAGGCGACCGTGCGATCTCCCGATAGGTTATCTAGCGACTGGACGGATCTCCCGCACGCGGAGACTTCGGCGCGGTTTCGAACCGCGGCGGACCGGGTCGCGGGGAATCCTCCCGGAATTCGGGTGCGAGTCGCGGGGGAAGCTCGGCCGCTCTAAATCGGTCGCACTCGCCGCGAATCCGCCGAGCGAAGCGCGCGCGACGCGACGTGGAGTGCGAGCGCGACGCGCGCTCGAGAGCGAGGAGCGAGGAGCGAGGAGCGAGGCGTGAGGTGTGACGCGTCGCGTGCGCAGGTCGCCGCTCGTGGCGCCGGGCGCGGTGCGGTGCTCGGTGCGCCGCGCGCCGCCGCCGCGCTCGTGCCCGTGCCGCTGCTGCTCCGAGGAGGCGCTGGCGGCGTGCCTCGGCCGCGCCGCGCCCGACCGCCGCACGCTGGAGCGGCTGCAGCGGCGCCTGGGCCGCGGCGCGCGCGACGAGCGGCCCTCGCGCCACCAGCGGCTGCAGGCGCTCACCGAGCGGCTGCTGCCGCGCGCGCCGGCGCCGCTCTCCGCGCCGGCGCTGCCCGCGCCGCCGCCCGTGCCGCCGCCGCGCGCGCGCCACCGCCACAGCCCCGCGCGCGGCCTCTCCGTCGACCGCTGCGACGACTTCGACGCCGACAACATCACGCTGGTGCGCGTCGAGCCCAGGTCCATCGTCGGCTCCTACGCCCAAAAGACTATACCGTACCGCAGCGCCTCCTTCTCGCAGGGCGACTTCGCTCAGGACGAGTATTATCGCGGTGCGGCCGTTCGTCAGCGTTCCATTTTCGACTTCGGAAGACGGCCGGCCGAAGCGGACGCCGTCGGCGCCGGGGCCGCCCCGCGCGACGACGCCGAGTCCTCGAGTATAGCCGCCGATGAGAACACGACCGAGGGCGGTTCGGTCGCCTCGGTCGATTCGGCGGTCGGTTCGGACGAAGGATTGTTGGCCCATGCGTCTCCGGCCGCGCGATCTCCTCCGCCGGACGCCTCGCCACATAAGCAACTCGGTGCTCGATCGTTGACGCATCCTCTTCCGCGTCGTATACCCTCCGTGAGAGAAGAGGGATCCGCTGACGCCGGTGGTAGTTTACCCGCGCTGATGGCGCCGCGAGTGTTGCACGAACTGCGTGAAGAAAGTGATGGTTCGCAGGCGGATAGTGCGCAAGCGCACAGTGAAGGAACCTCGCCGTTAGAGCCAGCCCAACCCTTCGCTTTTCCTCCGCTTCCCGCTCCTCCCCCTAACGCGTGTGCCAATTTAGACTGTGAATGTGCTAGCGTTCCTAATACGTGTGACAATACCGTGAGTGCAGTGGAAAGTTCTATTCCTGTGCCCGTATACGAGTGTATAGTGAAACAGTGGTCGAAAGAGTTACCGCCGGAAGAACCACAACGTTCCGATCATGCATCAGATGGGTCTTTAGATAGAGATAAAGAGGATGAAACGATTACGAGTGAACAAGTTGCAAATTTATTAGCTGCTGTACAAAATCCTTGTACTCCGGCTCCCGTCGGAGTGCGGGAGCGACGGCGACCTTTTGACAAAATTAAAAGAAGAAAAGGCATATATATCACGACAGCTAGCGATGACGGAGGAGAAGAGGACAATCTGACCTCCATAAATGGTTGTAAGCGCGAGAATAGTGACGCGTCTCTTCAAGAAATGCGGCTATCTACTGAGACTAGAAGTTCTTCATTATTAGGTGATAAGTCTGATGATTCATGTACAAATGGACCTCCGAGTCCCTGTCCATCCGACGTTCCGACTCTTATGTGGCCCAGATCAGAAGAGTTAAGGGCAAGAAGAGCGAGATTCTCACAACAAAGTTCTGACGAAAGAGAGGATGATTCATATAAGACGAGACGAAAATATGGGGTTACATCACGAGGAGATTCCCCTTCTGAAGCCGAGAGCGACTCCTGTTCGCGAGACCGCACGGCGTCACCCTCTCCGTTCAGTCCCTCGGACACATCGGATGTAGAAGCGAAACGACAACAGTATATGGCAAGTCGAGGACCATTTGGAAAGAATTTAGAAGCACCTAGTCGCTCGATGGAAACCAGTAGGAGAAGCTTTTCGGATGCCACAGTTCCTAGTCGAAAAACGAGTGCTGGAGCTGCAATCCCTGTAAACACGAGACCGCGAGGGCCAACACACGTGAGGGCGACATCATCTCCGTCTAAATTGGTCGGTGTGAAGCCGGGCGCCGATCTGCTGGCTGAACTGCTGCGTGGAAGCTCAGAAGCGCTGTCCAACTCGACGGCTTTCGACAACGTCGTCTTTACTCTGCATCAACATAATGTGAGTTCTATTTTATTTTTAATTCTATTTTTTTTTGTCTTGAATTGACCATCTATTGCTGACTTGATTTAAATTTGAATAATCAGAGTGAAACCTCAACGGGAATACTGTAGGTAGCTAAAACCTATACTATAGAATTCAATAATTATGAAATTAAAAAACGCCACAGTTTAATTGGCGAAACAATCTCTGTGTTATTATAATATTAAATATATATTAAACGTTTCATTTTAAAGGCCGTCGTTGCGTGTCCTCTGGTTGTCAGTAAACAGGACATTTCTGTTAGCTTTTTTATTATTCCATTATCAAATTCACGGCCAAATGTTTTTAAATACATGACTCGAGTTCTGCGGCATTTCGCGGTCCAATGTCGTCTGAGTCACGCGGCAGCTGTTCCAGAGACTATTAAAATCATAAGGGCACGGAAGTTTATTTACACATGTGTCACCGGCTCCGGTGTTACGGCCGGCTGTCTGTATTTTGACATGCAAATTAAAAAAATAATACAAGCGTAATATAATATTATACAACAATGGATGTTAATCTTTGAACATTGTCACTCCATCTTACTGAACATTGCAAGCCCAGTAACTTTGTTTTACACCTATTGTCAGTAGGCTCCCATTCCGGCTGTACTTCTTAAAATACCTAATGTACGGAGTAGAAGAAAACTGGAAACATTGCTATCATTATTTTTATTAATGAATAATAAAATAAATCTCGTGTTGACTTTAAAGTGTTTTATGGGGTTGTTTAACGGTTTAGTACATCACCTTACTTCCGAGGGTCGCGATTTCGATTCCTCGCACGGCACAAACATTTGTATTCAAGAGTATGAATGTCCATATCTGGGTGTTCTTTTTGTATATTATGTACGTATTTACAAAATAATGTATTTTAAATGATTATTGCAGTTGTCTAGTACCCATAACACAGGCTTAGCTTAGCTAGAAGCGCTGTGAGAATTGTCCACGTTCATTACAAAAAAAAAAACAGTTTACACAAATTTTAGTTACACAGAAACTTATGACGTATTATTTTTGATGTTACGGTGGTAGTTTGTTTAATTGGTATCAATATTTTTTTTTTAAATAGAAATAGAAATAATCTTTATTCAAATAAACTCATTACAAGCACTTTTGAATAGTCATATTTTGATTCTACCACTCATTCGGAATGCAGATTCATCACAAGAGGAATGAGCAAGAAACTTGTTTGTTGCCCTTTTGAATAGATGTTTTTTTTATATAATAATTACAGTATAACAAGTAAGAGGCATGCGATAATCAACATAGAAATCGCTACGCACTCATTTAGTAGCATTAGTGTAATCAGATAATATTGTCAGTGCTATGGATTTAAAGTTTTTCTATAAAAACAGTATTGTCGTTAACGAATTCTTCAATTTTATAGTAAGCATTTTTCGAAATTCTGTATACTAACTTTAATAGTAGTAGACCGTACGTTGTAAATGTAACTTTTATTGATGAATGTGAATACGTCATTTTTCACTTTTTTAGGTTAGATTATTAAATATTTTTGCTATCCATGGCAACTATTCCACGCAGACGAAGTCGCGGGCACAGTTAGTTCTACATATATTTCCACATTGCAGTCTCTCTTGTAGATTAATTTTAAGTCTACAGCAGGTATTACCTAACAGGATAACAAAACCGAAGTGAAGCTTACATATAAAGGAATAAGCTCTTTTCTTGAAGGTTTCAATATCGTATCGGTTCGGAAATACCATTGCTGGAAGGTGATTCCACAATGTGGTTGTGCTTGGTAATTCATCCAGATGATCAGGATGGTACGGATGGACGCTGCAACTTTGCAGTTAAACTGTTGCTGCAGTTTTTACCTTGAACAAGTTCCTGTTTAATGGGTTTATTTTAACAAATCCAGAAATATTCTTGAACACAAAGTGACCGTTGTGTAATTTGCGTGTTGCGAAATTGTTAGTAAACGATCAGTAAATAGTTAGAGCAGAGAGAGTGCGGCACACGCGTGCTACAGAGTAACGTTACTACCGCCGGCGTTGCTGTTCATTTGGAATTAAAACTCAAAATATCTTTATTCATGCAGGTCTATTACAGACCCTTATGATATGTCAAATGTACCGTCAGTTCGGAATGATTTCGAGACGAGAAGAACTGACAAGAAACTCAGCTCGTATTCTTTATAAATAAATGTTGTACATGTTTACAATAATACAGATTAATTTTTAAATTCAAATTTGGGAGAATCGAGTGGCCAATTTGGAATACAAACCACTGCTGCCGGAGTGGCCACGCTTGAATATTTTTCACAATTAGTTCTTTCAGTGGCGACTGCGATGACTGTGTGTCTGTATTTTTGTTGGGGTTAAAAATATGTATTATAATTTGTGTCCGTCGCATGGAAATCGCCGATGCACGGCCGCCGCGGCGTGGATGATTCATGAGGTCAAAAAACTATGTAGTGTTTCTTTATTTAGATCCTGCCGATGGCTGGATCGGTTTCACAATCGCAACTTTTATAAACGATAAGTACCGTAGCAATCGAGTGATCTGTTCGCGCCGACCTAATAATAACCAGATTAAACTCATAGTACATTCATATCCCGACTCATTTGTCCGGCTTCATCCATTATTCCTTCGCCGTTCAGGCAATCAAACTCTGGAATGACTTACCTCTTGATATCAAGACCGCCATCAGTAACCGCCACAAATTGCGGGAACATTATTTAAATTTGTAACTTTTGTTACTGTGCTTCTTCTTTTTTCACATCTTTCTGTTACTTCCCTATGGTCTCTCAATATTTTCTTACTTTCAATTTGGGGCCGTACTAATAATTTGATTATCGGATCATTATGTATTTATTTATATAAATATTTATATATATATGTTTATATTTATATATCTTTTTGTTGACATGTCTCGTTTATATTAGTGCACCGCCAACAATCTGTCTCTGCGCCACTCATGGTTGGTTGCCTGGTAGATAACGCCGCATGGTATTAACTCCGCCATGTGTACACATTGTTTTTGTGCATTAAAGTTAAATAAATAAATTGTTGACAATTAGAATTCGCCAGTGATTTATACAATTAAACATTGCGACCAATATGTATTGTATATGCGTGTAGCAGCAGTACCTGCACTCGATGTACATATACACGTGTAGGCTTGCTTTAGTTATTGATCTGAGATGCACACACACACACACACACACACACACATACACACACATTGGTCGCATTATGTCAGTAAGTAAATGTTTGTGAGTGCCAAGACGTTTTATTATTCGATTGCATTCTGCCTTTTGGACTTTGAACTTGACTTTAAAACGTGACTGTGGTTGCAGCGGAGTTGTTTTAGTGGCAGACTTTGATGAACTAATATAAATAGTAACCGGAAACATAATATTATTTTAATTTATTTATTTATTTATCAAATTACATCCTCTTGGTAAGTATTACAGTGTAATACCTATTAAAGCACTCACCAAGCTATATATAATAATAATAATAACAACCTACACATACATATACATACATATATATATATACTCGTAGATACATACTCGTACATATATAGAGCTATCACTCACATTATTTCCTCTATAACCTCTATGCCTGTTAGATGTGTATTTAATTCTGTATATGCAAGAGTTATAAAGATATTGTAATGCAAGCTCTTATTATTTTGGAGTTAAATCTATAATTAATGTATTCCATACATTTCTATTACCTCGTATCTGCCTCTACTACAAACAAGTAGAGATTTGCACACATACAATGTGAATCAATTTATTTAACTTTACTTAAACATTGGGCATACTTGGGATGTTTTTAATAAATATGAATGAAAATTAAGAATACATATATATGCTACCGTTTTCTTTGTTGAACTAGTGAGTCCTACAATCGTGTCGTTGTTAATGTGAGTTTGTTTCTTAATTACTCAGTTACGGTTAAACGGAAAACGAATAGACTTAAAATGTGGTACACTGTTGCGAGTTCACACGGGCGGCGCCGCGGGGTACTGCTAGTAATCAATAACGCCCAATCGAACATTCTCGTTACAAACAGACAGCAAAACAATGTACGGGAAGTACGCGCACCATTACCATAGTGCACAGTCATGGTTAGTGGCCAACTCTTGGACGGCGAGTTCCAAGAACACTGCCACCACTCCATCACTTTCTGTTCCGCGCCGTATTAAAACTATTATTACCATAAAATCAGCTCGAGAACTATTCGGCGTTCACAATAATACATTGAAATCTAGAATAAGTATACTTGTATAATGACATTTAAAGGATGCACTAGAGGTAGACGAGTTTTTACATTCATCGGAGATGGACTGTTAAAAGCAATCTGGCCAAATAGTAGCGCGGGGAGGCTGTAAATATATAATATATACACCAGCTGTCCCGGCAAACGTTGTTTTGCCATATAAAATAATAATGCTATAAAAAAATAGGGGTTGGTGATAGAAGGGTGAAAATTTAGTGTTGTATGTATTTTTTAATAACACATAATAAAAAAATATAAATCAAAAATTTGCCCAAAAAATTAAAAAATAATGTTAGGGGTACCCCGAAGTGATAGTAGCCGATTCACAGACCTACTGAATATGCATATAAAATTTCATAAATATCGGTCAAGCCGTTTCAGAGGAGTATGGTAAATAACATTGTGACACGAGAATTTCATGTATAAGATATACATATATATATATATATATATATATATTACAGTTTCATTGACTGTGTCACTTCACGAATCGATCAGAGATCTCGTTAACTGTCATATGATATCTCAACGTGATCCTTTGTGGTCTCGCACTCGTGTAATTAGCGTGTACTGTATTCATCGAGTTGACTTCATTAGATACAGTTCGAGGAGGGCTGATGTCGTTCCAGTGTTATAGAAATCAGCCAAAATATGCCCAAATATTATGATTTATTTTATAGAGAAAACACATTGTTTTAATCCGTCCATTTAATTCTAGAA